TTAAAAATATGCTTTTCTCTATTTCTAAATTTTTAGCGGTTAGCATGTATATTTATAACAGAGAAGACAGATTTGTTTAATGATATTGAAAGACATCAATACCATTAAACAGAAACCACCTGGCTCTCATTTAAGGGAGGCATATTGTGGTGTCTCTTGAGGTATAGAGGATGGGACACATTGTCATGTTTGCCTTTGATAAGTTCTAGCAGGTGTTTCTGGGAAATTTCTGGACTCCTTGCAGGAGCTCCGCTCCCTAGATGGGAAGGAGGGAGGGAAAACATTTCCTATTATAGGCTGACAGACTGGGGGTGACTGGGAGGGCTTTCTGAGGTCAGGTCATGAGACATGAAATCCTTAGAGTCACGGCACCCATCCATGTTCCTACCTGCTTCCTCCCTCCCTCAGTTCCTCACTTACCCACCTCATCTGGAAATTAAGGTGGTGCGTTCCTGCAGGAATGAGACATCTTTTTACTTCTGAGCTGACCTAGTCAATTTAGATGAACAGACGTGCTCTAATCCATTGTCTTATAAGAAGAGTAAGATGTTTATCAAACTTGAATATATTTTTACCAGACTGTTCTTTCTCTATTAGGCATCTTGGACTAAAATAAAGCAGTATAGGTTCAACACATCATTTGGATAAATATAGTTGTTTATCTTGAAGGCTGTTAAGATTGCTTATTTTTTTCCTTACTTCCCCATCTTGTCCAATTCATCAAGCCATCTTCCACTCATCATTCAAATATAATTTATTTAACATATTTATATCTCAAGTCATTCCAAAAATTAGTTGTTGTGGCTTACCAAAAGAAAGAAGCTCTGACAATAAAACCAACAATATGCAAACTCGAATAGGAAAACAGATCGGAGAAGAACATTAGAAATCAAATGTTCATTTCAGTCGTTCCAAGGGAGCCTATTGCAGTTATATTTGAAGAGTTCTGCTGGTCAAGATGAAAAAGGAAACAAGAAATACACATTTCTCCTGATTGGGGAAATGAACACAGTGTGGGCTGTTACAGGGAGAACTAAGTCTTCCTTGGAACTAAACTCTGAAAGAAATTTCTCCTGTGGTAGATAGTAGAGAGATAGACTGGTCAATATCTTGACAACAGTTTTTGGCTCAAACCAGAATTTTTTCACAAAGAAATTCCCATGGCTCATTCCTATAATAACTTTTGATAACAGTTAGAAATCCTAACCCTTTTGAGCCCAGAGATGCTGATTCAGGGTGGGTATCTGATCAGTGCTTCATCGAAGCGCACTGGATTAAGCTGTCACTGGCAAAAACTTTTGAATCCAAGTGCTGTTCCTAATGTATTAGCTCTTCTTTTATTGTGTCTTTGAAAAATGTAAACACTGTGTCATCATCCAAATCATTATGGTTTTAAACAGGACTCAACTTGGGGTGAATCCTGTGATGTGCAGCTACAGACCTATCTCTATGTCCACGCTGATGGTTCAGGAGGATTTGGGGATATGGTCATTCAGATACAATTCCACTTAAATTTATTCTCATCTGATCTATTTATTTACCTATACCACGCCTCTTTTTATAGCTGAGTCAGTGAGTCACACAGGAGATGCATAGTATAAAATAGGGAAGTGTAAACTAAATATCAGGACAAGGAAAACAAATTAAATATGGTGTCAAGACCAGGGTGGGCATAGGATGAGGTTGGACAGAATGAAGATCTGATGACAATCAAGTTCCACTGTTGTTACAAATTGCTGGCTTGCTTTGGGCTTCCGGAACACCGCAGTATCATGTTTCCATCATTTGCCAGTCTGTAGCCCATTGCCTCCTGAAAAGACTAACTGAAGATGATACAATTTGCTCTTGTTACTTAACAGTAGCCCCTGGTGGCCTTCACTTGGGTTTGGAAGCGCTCCTGGTTCTGCCTGCCTGGCTCTTTGCGGCGCTCCCATTCTTGTTTCCAGGCTCCTGCTGCCTGCTCAGAGTGTGCCTCTTGTACCACTTTAGCTCAGCGATGGCTTTCCTTCCTCATGGGGTGATTCCACCTGGGGGCTGCTTTTTCAGATTTGGCCACTTCTACTAGCCAGCTCAATGTCTCTTTGCCAGAGTGACAGTCTGGTTGGTCCACGTCATCGTTTTCTATCAGGCCATGTCACAGTTGATAAGTCTACGAAGTGGTGGCTTGGGTCAGATACTCCAATGTCCCTGGTCCAGTTACTCATGTGTCAAGTCACATGGTCCAAAATATGAGCCAGAGGTTGGGGTGGGGATGTGGAGGGAGCTGTGTGTGAAACTGTTTTCTTTGCACAGAGGTTTAAGTGTGGCAAGCAATCCAAGATTTCATTTCTTCACCTGGGTGAGGGATTGAACATGGGCGTGGCAAAGCAGCTGCCTTTTTGCCTCTGTTGCATCAGTTGATAAAATAAGACCTTTGTCCTTCTGGGAATCTTTTCTTCTGAGTTGCTCAAGGCATTCTCTGTGGAAGTGTGTTCAGAGGGCCTGGGAAGCCCTGGAGTAAGCACCCCCTTTTCAATGTAGGAGGCATATGGATTTCTGAATGCATTTCACTATAACCCTCTCCCCACTTTTTTTTTGTTGTTGTTGTTAAATGTCATATTGAGTTAGAGTCTGTGGAACAAGTCTTTGTAGACCTTTGCTACTCAGATTGAGGTCACCCTGGGGCTGCTCGGGAGCCTGATAGAAATGTAGAATCTCAGCCTCCCCTGGACCTACAGAATCAGAACCTGTGTTTTTAACAAGTTCTCCTGTTTGTGCATTCAAGTTTGAGAAACATGACTTGCATTGCAAACTTTGGAAAGTGCTGAATGACCTTGGCCAGGGGCGGAGTCTCCAAGAGGCAATGTGACTTGCCTGAATCCCTCAATGGATCAGTAATAGATCTGGAATCAGAATCCGGTATCCTGAGTCCCAGTCATATTCTCTTCCCACCACCCCATGATGAATGAAGAGGTTGATTAGACCACTGTTAGACCACGTGATCGGGGGACCATGATTTATCATCCAGAGCCACTTCTGAGAGTGCAAGAGGACAGCATGAATTACCTTAGGGCAACAGATGCAAAGTGCCACAGGTGGCCACTCTGTAAACCTAAAGTATTTTTCTGTTTTACAGAGCCCTCTCACACCTGTTAACTACTTTAAACAGCATAAATATCTGATGACTAGATGATCTTAAAGTGTTAACTATGCAATAAAATCTGGTTCTCAAGTAACACACACACAATCGCACTATCTCATTTTAGTAGACAAATCACTATCTAACCTGACCAAGGAAAAAGGTGGGAAGCCCAAAGCAAGAAAATAGGAGAACGAGGAAATGATTGTAGTTAGTCACACATTTAAAGTGATTCTGAGATTACTTTGCTTAACCCATTCTAATAAGTTTGAAAACCTGGATGAAACTAGCAGTTCCCCTCTGCCCCACATCACACACCACTGCAGTGGCCCAGCTGGGGCTGGAAGCTACATGTCAGGTAAGCTTTCTGTCAAGTCATTTCCCTAGGAGTCAACCAGACTTCAGAGTTTGTTTTCTGAAACTGTTATTCCAGTGCTTTAACTCAAAGCTAAAATGTCTGGGTAGCCTGGCAGGAACTCGGCTCTTCTGTTGGGGCAGGAACCAGAGTATGTGAAGAGTTGTTAGCTGATTGGACATCTTATGGCAAGTGGCCATCCACTTCCTTCTGATATTCACTTCATCTGCCACCTGATTGCCCTGCTCTACAAATGAAAAACAGGTATGTGTCTGATCCTGAGAATGTGAGTGTTAGACCTGAGAGGTCTCATTTTGTGAGAGATTGGTTAGTTCTAGTCCCTCTTTTAAAGATGAAGAAATCGAGAATAAGGAGGAGGAAGGAACTATCAACTTGAGACTATTTTCATTCCAAGCTGTGTGCTCTATTATACTATCTTTAATAATACTAATGTGAATAATATTAACAACTGATATCTATTGACTGGTTTACTCCATCACCTCTTCACAAACCTATGAAGAAGGCAGTCGTTGCACCATCCCCATGTTACAGAAACTGAAGCACAGAGGGGTTAAGTAACTTGCCCCAAAACACACAGCTAGTTAGTAAGAAGCAGAGTTGAGATCCTCCCCTAGGTAGTCTGCTTACACGCAGAGCCTACACCTCACCTCCATTTACTACTCCAACAGTTCCCTTGTTATTCTGACAGGACAGACCTCGGATTATGTATGTAACAGAGCCTAGTATGTAACAAACTAGGCATGTGATGTTTAAGCAAGAGTCTCAAGGCAAGAGAAACTGTGGTCTACCTAACATTCAGCACGTGCCAGTTAACTGTTCTGAGTGCTTTTACAAGCATTAGCCCAGTAATCTCAAAACCAAAACCAAAACCAAAACAAGCATCCCCCAAAACCCCAAAACAAAACACACACGACAAGGGCACACTATCCTCATTTGTCAAATGGGAAAATGAAGGCCAGAATGTCCATAACCCCCCTGAGTTCCTACAGCGAAGTGGCAAATCTGGCGTTTGGAACCAACCCATCTGGCAGGTGAGCAACGTTCTTCACTGCCAGCTATACTCCACTACCAACTGACTCGGTTATTCCCTTTGTCCTCATAGCACCTGACAGGCAGGTGTCATTTCCCACCCACTGATTTCCTTTTCTCTGCTTAGATGAGGAAACTGACCTCCTTGGAAAGTTTAAGTAATTTGCTAACCACTATCCAGCGACTTGGTGGCAGGCCAGCCAAGGATCCAAAGCCCGTGGTAGGCTGTTTTCACTTCTCCAGGCTTTAGTGGTGTGGGCCAAAGCTGGATCTCTGCGACAGATCCTCCTACTCACGGGTCGTGGGTCTCGGGTCTGGGACACGCAGGTCTCACCTGAGGCTCTGCTGGGTCCCGGCAGAGCCACACACAGCCCCCTGGCGGCAGGTGGGCGCAAGCACAGCGCATGCTAATGAGCCCGCGGCACGGCTCGCTGATTGGCTGGCCCTGATTCCAGCTGCTTTCCCAGGGGCGTGAGCCGAGCTCTAGTAAAGGGGTGCTGCAGGCGGCTGCCGCCCCCAACCCGCGCCCTCGGGTCCCCCCATCTCCCCTTAGACTTAAGGGCGTGAGGGAAGCACGCGGGCTCTTTCGCTTGCGGCATTGTCCGTTTTTCTCCCTTTTGTGTTCTGGTTCTGAATTCCTCCAGGATCCAGGATGACAATCCGACACCAAGGCCAGCAGTACAGGCCGAGGATGGCATTTCTCCCGAAGGTAAGCGTGGTCTGGTCACCTGGACCCTGGGGGGTGGGCAGGGACCCAACTCTGGGAAGTGTCCGCGGAATGCTGGGGATTTCGGAGCGTGTGGGCAGGAGTGCACTTCTTGTGGTCTAAATGACTGGCATGTGGAATGACAACCGTATCTGTTTAGGTTTCTGTGCTGGCCTGTTGATCCTGAAGAATCAGCACTGCTTGTGCAGAACTGCTGGAGGGTGCAGAGCCTGTTACCAGGAACTTCCTCCCCTCTCAGGTGGGGCTGTTCTGAAGGTGGTCCACACTGTTTCTCCCAGAGGCTCCACTTGCCCAGGACTCCAGTGGGCTACAGAATGAACCCGATTCCCCTCCTTTCTTTCCCTGGCTCACTTCCCCAGATCTCTGCTGCCACTTCTCAGGATCAATCCTTTCACCAACACTAGGAGATTTTTATTCACATTTTACAGGTAAGGAAACTGAGAAGCAACATTGGAAGATAGTGAGACAGTGACACTGATCTCACTGCAATGGGAGAAACAAAGTACAGTGGGCAATGGGAAGGAGTTCTACAATTCCCCATGAAGAGTAGGGGGAGAGAACCTTGAAGCTGAGACTGAAGGACGACAGGCTTCTGCAGAGAAAGGGGCAGAAGACCCAGGCAGCTGGGGGTGGAGGTGTGGGCCAGTGTGTTGTGTTTGAAGCAAGTTGTTCACGGTTGCTTAACAAAGGTGGATCATGAAGATCTCCTTCGACCTATGCCTTTCAAAGGTCATCCAATTTTTCCCAGAGGAAGCCAACTCAAGACTTTGAAGCAGGTGAGTGATGTAGTCAGATTCAAGTTCAAAAGACCACTTTGATGTGAACAAGAGGAATGGTTGGAGAGTTTTCTTTTCCTTGAACTAAGAGAGTTCACTTAGGGTCCTCCTGTGTCCACCATATTCCAGCTACCTACGAAATGACAGGTTGGGGCAGAGGTGCTGGGCCGAACAGCTCTTCTTTCTCCTGTGGCTCCTATGCCCACTGAAACACCGAGTAGACAGGCCCACCAGCCACAGAGCCACTCTCTGAGTTGCAAGGCTTAATGACTAGCACCCAACCAGGGAGGGCTCCTGGGCGTAAGATGTGGTAGAAGGAGGTGGAGCATCCACAGTTAGGAGCTTTGCCTGGGGGACTTAGCTGACGATGCACAGTGGACCTCAGAGCATGTCTGGGCAGCCTGCTGTGGCCTCGGGCATCCACAGGGCTCTGTTCCGTCTGCTGCCTTTCACCTCCTGTATCTGGGCAGTTCTCTAAAATGCTTTCCTCTTCTACAGAAAGAACTAGACTTGGGCAAGGACTGCAAGGAGTAGGGATCTTAATGTGGCTTGAGTGGATTTAGAATTCTTGTATCATGTATATGTTCCTCCATTGAACAAACATTTACTGAGCATCTACTATGCGTCAGACATTGATAGACACGGGGATAACAAAGACATTCAAGACATGGTCCCTGTCTTCAAGTGGCTTCTAGTCCAGTTGTGGGACAGCCACATACACCAACCCAATGGCATGTCACAGGTGCCACAATAGAAACCTGGAGGGTAGAGGAAGTGTCCAAGTGCAGGCATTCACTGTCTCCTGGGTGGAATACCAGAAAAGAATTCTGGAAGATTTAGTGGTGTTTAGTTGCATCTTTAAAGATAGGAGAAGGTTCCTATGGCCCTTGGGGTGCTGGAAGAGGGCCGTGACACAGGAGACATGCGTTCAGCTGTGGATCTGTTGTGTGTCAGCTGTCGATCAGAGCTGGAGAATGACAGCCAATAGGCAATTCTGTTTCTAGAAGGAGGTTCTGGAAGACTTGAGAATGATTCTCAGTGGTTACTGAGAATGTAATAAAAATGAGGATTAACAGCATATGGCACTGGGGCATTTGGACTTTGAATGGCAGCGCTGCAGTTGGGCCATGAGCCCCTACGAGGAAAGAGGGTGCAGCGTATTTTATTTTTGATCACCAGTATATCTTTGCACAGCAAGGACATGATTCCCATTGTCCCTAGGGAACCCGGAACACTTCACTCCCTGAGATCTCTTACGGAGAGTGACAGCCACTTCATGTGAAAAGTAACTGTGAGTGTGGGTGGACAGCATATCAAAGCTGTGAATTTCTGATACTTTTAGCGATTGTCTGGATTTTTTGATGTGCCCTGATGTTGTATCTCAGGCACATGCATTCTGAGAGGGAAAAAGCTAGGCCTGTGGTGGGGTCAGACAGGCCAACAATGGCCTTTTTCTTACAGGATTTGTCTGTGACTTTAGGGAATAGTTGTAGAGGTGTCTGGATTGTAGAGAGCCCAGAAGCTGGGGTCTGCTCTATGGTGTGTGTGTTGGGGGAGGGGCAGTGACAGGCTGGGGAAGGGCTGGGGGTCTTCACTGTGTCTGAGGAAAGGAGGCAGCTCAGGAGAGATGCACATGGAATGCAAAGATGAGGGCAACCTGGAGCGAGGCCACAACAGTACCTTTCCTGGAAAGCTTTTTTTAAAAAATATTTATTTATTTTTAGAGAGAGGGGAAGGAGAAAGAGTGGGAGAGAAACATCAATGTGTGGATGCCTCTTATGCGCCCCCTAGTGGGGACCTGGCCTGCAACCCAGGCATGTGCCCTGACCTGGAATCAAACCCGAGACCCTTTGCTTCACAGACCAGCGCTCAATCCACTGAGCTACATCAGCCAGGGCTCTTTCCTGGCAAGCTTTGAAATCAAGGTAGATTTTCTGTTATTGGTGGGAAGGATTTTTGTTGGCTGAGATCACGTCTCTAAGACCCTAGGACTCAGTTATATTTTTTGCACTTTAGATTTATTATAATTTTTTAAAAGATTTTATTTTTAGAGAGAGGGGAAGGGAGGAAAAGAGAGGAGAGAAACATCAATGTGTGCTCACCTCTTGCATATCCCCCCCCACCAGGGACCTGGGCTGCAAGCCAGTCATGTGCCCTGACCAGGAATTGAACTGGCGATCCTTTGCTTTGCAGGCTAGCACTCAATCCACTGAACCACGCCAGCCAGGGCTACAACTCTCTTTTCAGGAACCACTTAAGTGAATTTACATGGGAAAAGGTCAGAGGAAAGTTATCCTGTACCCTAATGGGAAGACTCCTGTCTTAAGTCAGTCTGGGTGGTTATAAACAAAATACTAGAGACTGGGTAGCTTATAAACAGAAATTTATTTTTCACAGTTCTGGAGGCTGAGATCAGAATGCCAGCATGATTGGGTTCTGATGCAAACTGTCTTCCTGGTCACAGACTTCTGGTTGTGTTCTTATGTGGTAGAAGGGACAAGAGATCTCTTGGGGTCTCTTTTATTAGGACACTAATCCCATTCACGAGGGTTCCACTCTCATGACCTCCCAAAGGCCCCACCTCCTAATACCGTAACTGTGGGGGTTAGGTCTTGGCATTTGAATCTGGGGGAGAAACAAACATTCAGACCATAGCAACTCCCTAAAAACACACATGGAACATACGTATTCCACTTTTCTCAGCAAAACCTTACTTCATACACAGTGGGACTTCCCTGCTGTAAAGAAACCTGCTTCTCTTTATTGTGATTTTAAACTAGCTCTTGGGATGGAAGCGGAGTAATATATGGTAGCAGAAGATGGTTTGACTTTGGGTGGTGGGTACACAATACAATGTACAGATCTTGTATCTAGAAATGTATGCTTGAAACCCATACAATCCTACTAACCAATGTCACCACAATAAACTTAATAAAAATAAAAATACTTCTACTGGTCTCTGAAGATTAAGATTCCTTATAGATTCATACTTTCTTTTTTAACACAGAGGGAAAGGAATGAAGCTGCTGATGTTTTTATCAGAGAGGTTTCCATTTCAAACTAGCAGAGCAGGTAGAACTCCTCCATCCACTGCTCAGCTCCCTGGTTCCCCGAGAAGATGGTCATTTCACCTAGTGAGGTAACAGTATTTTCAGTACAAAGTTATTATAACCTGAAAAGTTATGAGTGAAAGGAAGAGAAAGTTTTAAGCCCTCGTTAGAATCTAAAATAACAGTGTGTGTGCGCGTGCGTTGGGGAAGAAGGGACAGCTGGCTGCTACCAAAAAGAGTAATTCCTGCAACCCATGCCTCCTTGGTCCCCTGGCTATATCCAGGAAGAGTGGGGTTACCTCTCAGCAACCCCCACACCATGCTGGGGGCACCTCTTTGCTCCCCTCGCTGCTGCAGGCTGCTCTGCTGACCCAGTGGGACACTTGACATTGCAAAGACCAAAGTCTGCAGCTTTGCAGGGAACTGTAATGAAGTTTCCATTCCAGAACAAGTCTGGCAGCCAAGAAAGTGTCAGTGCAGGTGACGCCAGCCCCCAGTCAGTCTTGCTTGCTGGCTGAGTGCTAGTGCTGTGCCCTAAGTGACCCTGACCATGCTCCTGATGGTAGCTGCTCCTTGAGATGGTGCTTCAGCTGCAAACTCTGTTCAGCAACAGATTGAAAGAGGAAATCCCTGCTCTCAGGTTGACTTAGGACATTGTCCCACACTCCTTCCCTCCTTGGGGAGGTGGGAGCCTCCCACACTCCTTCAGGAGCTGGCTGGCTGAGGGGGAGGTGGCAGGAAGAATTTTAACAAGTTAGGGCTCCCCTGCATGATTCTTTCCCTCCAGCGCAGCCAGGTCTCTCAACCTGGTCACATCATGGATTCTCTACAAAGTCCACTTCCTCCAGGAAGCATTCCTTGACCATATTGATGATCCTGCACTTGGCACAATTTGTCCTGTGCTGGGTGTTCACCTTTATCTGTCTATATACCTTGTGACCCCAACTTCTAAAGGACAGAGATTGTGTTTTTGTAACAATCTAAAACTGGGTCCATAAGAAGCAGTCAATGAAGTTAAAGCTGTGTTCCCAGAAAGAGAGGGAGTCAGCACATTTTCTAGTCTCTTCTCATACGCACGGATCCTCCCAGACCAAGTCTCCATCCCTATGACCTCATGTGACCTTAAGAACTTCCTAGTGGCCCCACCTCCAAATAGTCACATAGGGGTTAGGGCTTCAGCATGTGGACTTGGGGGCAGGGGTGACACAAACATTCAGTCCGCAACACACAAAAAAACCTTTAAGAAGGTGATTAAGCTAAAATTAGGCTATTAGGGTGGATACTAATCCAATTTGACTGGTGTCCTGTGAGTAAAGGTGATTAAGACACACAGAGATACGAGGGACAAGTGCTCAGAGGACGACCGCCTGCAAGGCAAGCAGAGAGGCCTGGGAAGAAACCAACCTGCTAGCACCGAGATCTCAGACTTTCTGGCCCCCAGAACTGTATGAAAATAAATTTCTGATGTTTCCGTTTCCAAGTCTGTGGAATTTTGTTATGACAGCTTGAGCAAACTAATATGCCTATGAAGCGAGGTCCCAGGCTTGCTGGGTCCTACATCTGTTTTTTCTGCCCACTGCCTGCCTGCCCTGCATTTTTACCCTTTCGTCTTTGCACCTGCTAGCTCCTCATCCTGGAATCCCCCTTTTCTCAGTGCCCGAGGCAGTAAATATGCACATCGCCCAAAAGCCCATGTGCGGTCTTAGCAAGAACCACTGGGCCATGAACACCAGTGATGTGTGTGTGTGGCTTCCAGGCTGAAAGCACTGAAGGGCACCTGCGAATTCTCGGCGGTTTTGGCCCTTCCCCGGCTTAGTGATAGTGAAAGCATGCATGGAATGAGGGGCCACAGATGGTAGCGGCCTGGTTCGCTGAGTCATGACATCGAGCCACTGCCCTGGACACTGCCAACTTGAATTAGCCTTTGGGTGAGGAAGAAGTCTTTGTTGTATTAAACCTTGGGTACTGCAGTATAACCCAGCCTGCCCGACTCACACACTCATTTTCTGTCAGTTCAAATCTTCATCCTTTAAGTACCAGTTTAAATGCTACCTCTCTTTAAGGGCCTTCCAGAATCAACTTACCCCAACCCCCACCCCCGTCAGAATTAATTTCTTCTCCTTCTGCTTTCATAGCACATGTACCTTATGTCTATTGGGTGCTAAGTGCTTAGTATTACGGTTAGTTAAGTACACGTAAAGTTAGTGATGCAGAAAGAGTAAGAGTATGAATTCTGGAACCAGACTGACTGGGTTCAAATCTCAGGCCTGCCATTTATCAACCGTGGGACCTTTGATGAGCTGCTTAATCTTCTAGGACCTTGGTTCCTCTCTGTTTCTCTAGTACCTGCCAGAGCATTTGGTACAATAATTAATTGCTTAATTGTACCTGCTTGCCAGCCTCTTTCTGTTTGTCTCATAGATGGAAGCATCAGGAAAAGACACACAGAACCAGAGACTGGGATCAATATGCAAAGCCAGAGGGTCCTGTTATCAGGGCCCTATGGCTCAGGCCAGGCCTGAAACACACTCCAGTTTTTTCCTACATATTACTTCAAATTAGGAAGACAGAATTTAGTGGGAAGATGAATCTGATGTTACTTCTTGAAGGCTCTTTCCCAGAGCTCATTATTTTTATGCACCTATCAAGATGGTTCATGATTCTATTTTTTTTTTCTGGTAATGACTTACCTCGATTGATTTTTAAGTATTGAGTCACCATTGCATTTCTGGGATAAACTCTAACCCTTACCCTGGCTGGATGGCTCAGTTGGTTGGAGTGTCATCCTGTACACCAAAATGTTGTGGGTTCAATTCCTGATCAGAGCACATACCTAGGTTGCAGGCTCATCCCTTGTCGGGGTGCGTGTGGGAGGCAACCAGTTGATGTTTCTCTCTCTCTCCCCACCCACTTTCTCTCTAAACATACGCTTGGGTGAAAAATTTTAAGAAAGCTGTGGTACATGTACACGATGGAATACTACTTGGCCTTAAGAAAGAATGAAAGCTTACCTTTTGCCACAGCATGGATGGACCTGGAGAGTATTACGCTAAATGCAATGAGCCAGTCAGAGGAAGACAAATACCATATGATCTCACTTATATGTGGAGTCTAATGAAAAAAAAAAAAAAAAACCCAAACAAACAAAATAGAAACTCATAGTTACAGAGAACAGACTGACAGCTGTCAGAGGGGAGGAGAGTTGGGGCACTGGGTGAAAAAGGTGAAGGCATTGAGAAAAAAACTCATAGACACAGACAACAGTATGGTGACTACCAGACAGAAAGTGGGCAGGAGGACGCAGAAGAGGGTAAAGGGGAGAATAAATGGTGATGGAAGGAGACTTGACTTGGGGTGGTGAGCGCACAGTACAATATACAGATGGTGTATTATAGAACTATACACCTGAAACCTGTATAATTTCATTAACCAACACCAGGCCAATAAATTCAATAACATAAGAAAAAAATAAGTTCAAAATGAGGTAAACAAATTAGCCTCATCCAGCATCCTGACTTACCTGCCTCATTCTCCCTTGTAAACCCAATCCCTTAATCATTAAGCCCTCAGGGCAATGAGGCCCTAGTCAGCATTAAACAATCTTGGGAACAAAGCCTCAGATCCGTTGACCACAGAGAGTTTCAGTCAAACTAAAGATAACATCTAAGCTGCAGTTGTGTTTCAGTTTCAGACCCAGAAAAGTGAACCAATTCCACTGGCCACATCCTTTCGAAACCAGATGAAGTGACTCCATCGCTGACGTTAGGCCCAGATGGACTGATCAACTCCCCCTCCCCTGGTACCAGTCAGTCAGTGGAGACCACGATCCCACCTGCCTTAGTCACTGTGACCAAGGATTTTCCCTCTGTATTACCCACTCCTGGAAGCCATCACAGAGCCAGGTCTTTGGGCAAGGGCTCACCTGTGACTCATGGTGCCACTTCCTTAAAAATAAACGTTTACTTTCTTAGCTACAAATCCCGCCTGCATTTGATCGGGCTTTGGTGCACGCGGGCAAACAAATCCCTTTTCTTTAGCAACACTGCCCACACTCTGGAGTGGACTGCTTTTCCCTTCCGTCTCTCCTTGCCTACCATGTATGGGGGCCATTTTCGGATTTCACCCAGGACGCTCCCAAGGTTTTGAACCAACAACAATGGGGCCACAGACACTTAAATTTTAGAAAGAGAACAGATATACAGAATGCAATCAGTCATCAAGAGGCAGGCCCCAAGAGACTGTTTATAAAGACCCCGAATCCAAACTTGGCAATTTTGGCTCGACTTCAGGGAGGCACAGCTGGGGAGGGGCTGTAAACAGAAAAGCTTAAGCCCAGTCAGTTACGTGTACTCCAGCTTGACAAAGAATATGGGGAGGGCATCTCTGAAAGGGATGAACAGAGGCTTTTTGCCCACAAAAATGAATACCTGGCCAACCTGATAGGTCTACCTGTTCAGTGAAGACACCTGATGCCATTCAACTTGGATGTCAGCCTCACTGCTTTGATTCTACACCGTGTCTCCATTATAATATGCGGTAGTATAAAGAATCTGGGCTCCCAAGCAGATCCTCCTTCAAGAAGGAACACACTGTTGACAGATAAAAATTATTAAGCTGACTGGTAACTGCTTTTCACTAGAAAGGAGTCAACTCACACCCTCACTTCATATACCAGCCCCTTTTGAATTTGGTTTGTGTTAGTGTGTCTTCTGAAGGCTGCTTTCCTCTGTGAACTACTGAAGCCAGGTTTCTGGCCCTACGGGTGGAGGACCAGACCATGAAATAAGGGCATTCAAACCTGTCATCCTTAGGCAGATCTCGCTTGAAATCGCAAGTTTAGTAACATACTTGTAAGTCAATTCAAAGTTCTCCCTGACCGACATTTGTGTCAAACATATCACACCACCTCATTAAGAACTTCTATTGTTACTTCAGTAACTAAGTGATTTTAAATGAAGTTCAAGATCATTTTCATACTAAATTTTATTCTATATTAATAGGGGAAATTTACAGTGAATGTGAGGTAATGCACACATGCAACATACATCAATGGCTTTAAATTACATTCTATTTATAGGAGGAAATGAATTTCCTAAGATGTTTATGAAACCCTCAATTGTAGAATTTCCACTGGAACAATTTACATATTTTTCCAAATAATTACTCCCACTGTTTTGTTAGTAATTATGGTGATAACATGCATCCAGTGATACTGAGACACTATCTACTGGGCATGATGCATGTGGGACACAGGGCAGGAAGGGTTCACTTCCTTTCCCAAATGTTATGGGACTTACAGTACTTCATTATGGGCCATTTTCTGCCACGTTTGTCCACTGGAAACTACCCTTGCTGAAATCCAGTCAGATGACTTTCAAAAAGTAGTTTTGAAATGTCTTTTGAGAAGTGAGAGTGTCTTTTGAGCAGATCTGAGTCACCCCCCAGGTAAATGATTTCTTTGTGTCAGCGTTTGCCAAAGTAAGTTCTGGGGAAAATCACTTGGAGATATATTAATAGGGTGTTACTCAAATTCTTATAGACAAAATACTTAAGAAAACACCAGGCTAATCAAAGAAGAGTTCCGTTATTGCAGGACTTCTTAGAACAAATATTCTGTTGTTAACTGTGCTCAGGCCCCATCATGCAAATGCCAAACTTATTTGTCCATCTTTTCTTTTTCCCTCAGGAATACATTACGGTAAAAGCTTCCTTAAATGAAATATTCCCCAATACAGTCTTTTTAAAAGTTTTTATTTACTTACTTTTAGAGACGGGAAGGCCAGAAGGGGGAGAGACAGAGAAAGACAAACATCTGAATTGCATGCCCCCAACTGGGGACCTGGCCCGCAACTTGGGCCTGTGCCCCTACTGGGAATTGAACCAGCGACCTTTCCGTTCGCAGGCCAGCGCTCAATCCAGAGCCACACCAGCTTGGTCCCCCAACACAATATTTAAAATAGTGTCAGAGAAAGTAAATCCGTTTCACAAACGAACATACACCACTGTACAATCACACACACTAGGACAGGATGGCGGATACCCTCATTTCATTACTGAGAAAACTGCACTTCGAAAAGTCTAGGCAGTTGGCGCCTGTGGCAAGTGGCTGCCCTAGCAGAGCAGTAACCCAGGCCGGTACTCTGAAAGTAACCTAAAATCGCGCGAGTCCCCGTTCTCCTGGGTTCTGAGCCTCCACACTCCTCTCCCGCAGGGAAGCATTCCGAGCCTCTGCCCTGCCCCTCCTTCCAAACTGCACTCTGAGCGTTCCCTCGCACGCGCTTCTCCTTCCCGGGCCACAGTTCCCCATCTTTTAACCTAACCCCTCTCTTCCGTATCTGGCCACAATTCAATACTAAGGTACATCTTTTTAGTTACCTTTTTTAAATGGGCAAGCGGGTCGTTGTCTTAGGTACACCAAAACAGATCCTAAATTCATCTATTTTTAAGTTGGAGAATCACCATTACTTTCTACGAGCCAGTCGGCTTCAAATAGTTATAAAAAAGAAACAGGTCCATGGCTCCGGGTATCCGAGGGGCCGATTCCACGGCGCCACTTAGAGGGGAGGGGGACCTCTCCATAAATCCTTCCTCCCCGCCCCCAAATTCGCGGCGCTTGGGTCTGCGAAGCAGGCACCGCCCAGGACTCCGGGCCCGACTTCCGGGGTCCACGCCTGCCGCACGACCCCCGGGAGCCCCGAGCATGCGTGTAGAAAAAAAAACGACCAAGCCGCCAGCACTTACCTGTGAAACTAACGAAAGGGGGCGGGAGGGGTGGGGCGGGGCCGGAAGTGGGCCACCGGCGGAAGTTGGCCCTCAGGGAGCCTTTGCGTCCTCTCTAGGAGTATGGAGGGATCCGCACCTCTATGTTCTAGACCTCTCGTGACCCCACGCCCGGAGGAAAAGGCAGTTGATGGGCCTGTAGGGTAGGGCGCGGATAAATGTTCTCGGGACATTTTCTTACCCTTTCATACCTGCGTGCACGTAGCAGCATTACTAACAGAGAGTCGGAAATTGACCTTATCAAGATTTTAAAAAATAAAGATACTGGAACGCGATGGGGCACCCCAAAACTGCTCAGCAGTTTTCTAGCAGTTTTTTTGTTCGTGATGTGCACATGCATTTTTTAAATTGGCATGAGGTCTAACTTGGATGCAATAACACTGCTCAAGTGGCTCTCAGTTTAAAAACAGGTTTTACATTTGAAGTATCTTTTGAACTTGAACCCCAGGTTGGGGTTGGCCCTGCTGCTCTTGTGTCTTCACACCCAGTTCTGCAATGATGAGTGGGCACACCTGTCCTCCCCCTCACCTGTAGGGCTCCAAGGGGCACATCTGTTAATTCAAAGGTTCAGGTTCACCAACTTCTATTGTGATCTTCCACTCTAAAAAGAAAAGGGAAATTATGCAAATATAAATACAGAATCTAGTAAAATTAGAATTGTTTAGGTTTAAAAAAACATAACAGCATCCAACACAAATCAGGGTGTGGTGAAGTTGGTTCATTCCGGGCAGACGAATGTAAATATGCAATGCTGTTGAAAAACTACTTGCCATTGTATATCAAGAACCACTGAATGCGTGTAGGCTCTGACCCAGGAGAAAATTTATCCCAAGCAAATAAATGCAAGAGGAAGGACAAGCTGCATTTCTGAAATGATGGTACAATGGACAACAGTTAAATCTGCTTATCCAACATTCAGTTTTCTTTTCTTTTTCTTCTGATTGGTAACACTAAGGTTTTTCTGTAGGAAGCCAGCTAGCTCTCACATGACATGGCCTGGCCAGCCCATCAGAATATCCCAGCACAGCCGGGAGGTGAGGTATGAAGTCGGAGGCCATGCTGCCTGGTCCCAGTCCTGGCTTTGCTGCTTCCCAAATGCATGAACTTTAGGTTGCTATTTATCCTTTCTGAGTCTCAATTTACTCATTTGTTGAATGGGTATATTAATAGATATCTACCTCATAGGGTTGTAGTGAGAACTACTGCAAATGAATGGAACAGGAATATAATGCCTGATATGTATGTATTACCATTTCCTACCCCCATGCCTCTGAGCAGGATCTTAACAGCTTTCCTTTCCTCACTTTCCCTGTTGCCTTCCACACACTCCAGTATAATCACCTATGTTAATCCCTGAATTATATTTTATATCTTTTCCCCTCCTGGAAGTGCCCTCATAGCTTAAATCCTGACTTTTTCCCCTTCTTTTAGTAATGCAACTGCCCGACCTAAGCTTTGATTGCCAAAGCATCCACTTCAAAGACAGCGATCCCAATCAACACTTGGTCAGCCAGCGGTCAGTCCAGAGAGTCAGGCAGCCTCCAGCACTGAGCTCCTTTTTTTTGAGAGATCTTGGTTAATTTCAGTAACTGACCGATTGGGCTACTTGTTTGTTTTCTCTTCCTGTGCTTTCAATTCTGGCTCTTCTGTTTTAAATTCATCAATAAAAAGGGATTCCTGGGAAACCCTAGGCCCCACGACCCTTGACACCAATGAAAACAGAATCCCAGACCCCTCTCTTCCTCTACCTTCTCACCCCGCAAACCTTGCTGCGTAGCCCTAGGTGTACTGTGTAATTTTCAAGTCCTGTAAGTAATAAGCCTGCAGCGTTTCAGTTTCCTCATTGTTATTGCTGAAGGGCATCCTGCAGTAAGAGCCACAAGAGTTGGTCCAGCCACAACACTGGCTCTTAACAGGCTGAGACCAGTTCAACACATGCCTACAGGCACCTTTGTTTCATGGGCGCTTCATATGGTTCCCACACCAGAAATGGTGCTTGATAAGGGCTTATTGAACAAAACTCAATACTTTCTAACACATAGCAGAGAAAGCTGGAACGGTGAATGAAAATGTCATAGATCCTAGAGGCTAAACAAAAAGGAAATAGAAGCTAGAACAATTTTCTTAACCAAATCCCCGCATGATTCCTTGGGATTACAGACTCCATTTCTTCCCAGCCCCGGA